CATGGGTCAAGCGGGAGGGAGTTGCTCATGGGCCCCACGTTGGGTGTCATGGGGGGTCGGTTGAAGGAGAGCACGGGGGTGTCATGGAGCTTCATGGAGCTGGCCTCCATCTTCTCCTGCCGCCTCCACTTGGCTCGCCGGTTCTGGAACCAGACCTGCGAGGTGAGAGCCAGCGTGAGCCCCACCGTGCCGCACCGGTCGCTCATCGCGTGCCCCTGTGCCCCATGCAGGGTGCCCCGTTGTGCTGTATCCCACGCGAGGTGCCCCATGCAGGATGCATCACACAGGGTGCTCCAGGTGGGGTGTCCCATACGGGGTATCCCGCCCCGTGTTTTGGGTTCCACGTGGGATGCCCCACGGGGCTCCAGCAATCCCCAGCACACCGCACACCTCTGCCAAACCTCTCCCGCAAACCCCAGAGACTTGAGGGCATCTCCCAGGTGTGGAAAGTGCAGTGTCACCGCACAGCCCCTGCCCTCACTGCTCCACAGGAATGCACGCCCCGGCCCTGCAAACACCCGTACAGTCCTCGGTGTAACGTTATCCAGCTTTCAAAACCGCCTCGGTAAAACTTCTAGAAGCCAAATTGCCACGGTTGCACCAAAATCCAGCAGGAACGAGAGGGACCAGTGAGCCAAGGCCAGCGGTGAGGTCTTGCCCCATGGGAGCTGCTTGTTAGAGCACTGGCCCCAGTGTCCCCAGAGCCTCCAGTGGCACAGGGCACAGGCCATCTGCCACACGGTGCAAAGGGGGAGTAACGATGGACGTTTGGGCTGAGAAGTGGTTGTCTCCCACAGGCTGCTCACAGTCCTGTGAGGAGCGGCTGAGGGACCTGGGGTTGTTTAGTCTGGAGAAAGAGGCTGAGGGGAGACCTGATGGCTCTCTACAACTCCCTGAAAGGAGGGTGCAGCCAGGTGGGGGTCAGTCTCTTCTCCCTAGTAACAAGCGATAGGACAACAAGAAACGGCCTCAAGTTGCGTGGAGCTTTAGATTAGATAATAGGAAAAATTTCTTCACCGAAAGGGTTGTCAATCCCTGGAACAGCCTGCCCAGGGAAGTGGCTGACTCACCAGCCCTGGGGGGATTTAACAGACATGTCGATGTGGTGCTTGGGGACATGGGTTAGGGGTGGGCTTGGCAGTCTGAGGTTAACTGTTGGACTTGATGGTTTTAAAGGTCTTTTCCAACCTAAATGTTTCTGTAGTTCTATGAAGCTAGTCACTGCTCAGAGAGCTTGCCAGAGGTGTTCCTACAGACTGGGCCCCTCAGAAAAAGGCCGCGTTTTCTTGGACTGGGAGTGAGGTCTGGGAAACTCAGTTCATTTGTAAAAGGGGATTACTGCCTTGCTTCGCAGTGGGTTGGTTGTTTCTTCAACACCCTGATCCTTTCTTTCTCTCGCCCTGGTCTTGCCCTATCAGTCCCAGGGGTGGGGGGGGAGCAAACTGGTGGGACCAGCAGGGGGAAAAAAAAAAAACAACCCACAAAAACCTCTAAAAACCATCCCCCTGCCCAAACGGAACCTCCAGCACATGGGCTGAACTGGGACCTCAGGGGGAAGGCGGTGCAGCCGTTGAGTCCCCTCTCTGGTTTTGGCAGAAGCAGCTGGCTCTGCTGAGATGCTGCTCGTGCTTCAAGCAACGTGGAACCTGAGGCACAGAGTGAGGTGGCGGAGCCGGAGCTGGGAGCAGAGGTCTCCGGTGCCGGGGTGGTCCCTCCGCCACTGCCCAGGGGACAGGTCTGGGGTCCTCCCTACCTGCACGCGGACCTCCGGCAAGTTGACCTTCATGGCCAGCTCCTCGCGGCTGTAGACATCGGGGTAGTGGGACTTCTCGAAGGCGCGCTCCAGCTCGTGCAGCTGGTAGGTGGTGAAGGTGGTGCGGTTCCTCCGGTGCTTCTTCTTGGGCTGCTCCTCCTCAGTGGTGGCTGGTGGGGTGCCCTCGCTGTCCCCCGGCTTCCGCAGCTCGCCCAGGTCTCCCTCACACTTATTCAGGAACATGGCGGCACCTGCGAGGGGATCGCA